AGGAAGAATGGCCCTTCCAGAAGAGCAATCCCATGTCGTGGGAGGCCAAGGAGAAACTCTGTTGCAGAGGTGAGAGGCCACCCTGGTTTCTGCCAGCTCCTGCCCAGACGCGAATGCAGGTGAAATAGGAGTGGGGAAGGATGGCCTGGGACACTGGCTCAGGAGCAAAGGATACATGGGGCATCCGAGCCAGGCAAGGCTCTCCTCCTGCCAAGCGTGGGGCACGCGCGGCAGTTGGGGCAGTTTTCTTCCTGAGGGTTGGAGCTTCTTGCAGCTCCATGGGCTTGGATTGCAAGTAGGTGGGACAGGGAAGGAACCGGAGAGAGCTAAAAAGGGAAGAGAGGTGAGCGGGAAGAAGGGCAGGCAGGGGCTAACAGCAGGGCAGCTGATTAAATGTTTTGCTACACACAATTTCGGATACCAGGATGTGGCTCTGGGAAGTCAGGGGGGACGTGGCTCTGTCGGAGGCTGGAGTTTGCGAGTCCCCGTTGCAACATAAACTCTCTGGTGTTGTCTGAAAAAAAAGTGCTTGTGGCCGGGGAGGGGGAGGCAGCTTCGGCTCTTCCTGCTTGGTTTGCTTTGCATTGCCAACACTGACTCGGATGTGACTTGGCGGCTGGCCGGCTTTGAGTGGGGCTGGACCAGATGACCCCTGGGGTCCCGTCCTGCTCCTCAGCCACTGAGCCGGCCCCCTTGAGCCGCAGCACACAGGGCAGGCAGCCATGGGGGAGGATCTGCCGCCAGCTCTTAGCAGCCCTGCAGAGACCCGAGCCACCCCAAATCAGGTCCCGCGCCATCAGCGGGGATGTGAGTGTGAGCCGTGTTCCCGTATGGGGAGGAAGGGAGCCAAAAGGCGTGTGGCAACCCTGGTGTGATGCTCCTACCTCCTACCACTTCACATCTGGAGGCCATTTCCCACAAAACGAGGGCCATGGAGTAGACGTCCATCTGCTTGAAAGACTCCAGGTCTTCCAGGTTCACCCTGGACTCTAGGACCTCTGGGGCCATGTACCTGGCGGTGCCCACCTGCCCACAAAGAGGAGAGAGGTGTTAGCAGGGGTGGGCGAGGACTTCAGCCGTGGGGCGACCAGGGGTGGCTTGCAAAGGGTCCCCTCTGGGGAGAGCCGGCGTGTCATACTTGCCTGCCCACTGTTGGCAAAGTCGTCCACCGTCAGGGAAGGGTCAAGGCGTATGGCGATGCCGAAGTCGCAGAGCACACACTCCTGCTCGTTCTTCACTAGGACGTTGGTGCTTTTGATGTCCCGGTGGGCAATGGGGATTTTTGGCCTGCCGCAGGCGGTGTAGTCGCTGTGGAGGTGGGCCACCCCGCTCACCAGGGAGCCCGCCATCTTCTGCAGGTCCATCCAGCTCAGGACGTGGCGGGAGCCCCACGCCTTGGCTCTCTTGCGCCGCTTCTGCGTGCGGCAGAGGTAAAATATCACCGTGATCATCACCGCCACCAGCAGCGGGGGCAGGAGGCTGATGGCGGCCACTGGGATGACCTCTTTGCTCTGCAGCATGGAGTAGCCTGCGGGGAGGAAAGGAAAGGCGAGGGCGCTGCCGCTGCGGGTCTGCAACAGCTCGTTTTCATCACGCGGAGGAGGAAAATATGCGAAGCCGTTAATGAAGCGCAGCCCTTTGCGGGGCCGCAATGCATGCTGCGCACAAACCCTATCCCAGCAAAGAACCCAGATGTAGGCAGTCATTAGGGGAGCTGCTCAGTTTAGGTCTCAAATTTAGCTCCATTTATCAAGTAAGGGTTCAGGACGCCGGCCTGCGTTAATTGAACCGGGCGGTGGGGCCTGTGAGACCCTGCCGCTGTTACCAAAATGACTCGGCTGCCCTTTGGCGGCTCCCAAGTGCTCCACGGCGAGGGGGGCCGAGGTGGAAATAACGGTGATAAAGCTGAGGCAAGGCTCGAACACAGCAAATCCCTGAGGGGGTTTGGGGCTGGGGCTTTGCCGGACTCCTGCGGTGCACGGAGAGCCAGGAGGGATGCTGGGGGCGGGGATGGGCAGCATGCAGGGCCCCTGAGCCCGGGGGGGCACGGGGATGCTTTGCACAATTATTAGTGTAAAGGAACATCATTTCAGTGCTGTCTGCCAGTGTTGCCATCTCCTTCCTCACCGTGTTACAACACCAACCCCCGTCAACAGAGCAGGCATGGCTGCTTTTGTTTTATTTCTTTTAAACCCCCGTCAGCCTTCAGATCATTGGGGGGGGGGGGAAGCACACAAAAAGCCCTAACCCTCGCACAACATATAATTGTCTGATGCTTTGATGTTCGCGATTCCTGGAATAAACATGCTGACTTCAGTAGAGATATTCAAGTAAAATCTTACTCAGAGGTTTTTCTGCCAAGTATAATAACCCAGGGGAAGAGGGATAAGAATCATTCCATAAGCAAAACTCTTGCTGCTTGACCTCAGTGTGTGCAGATCATAATTCAGGTTCTGGAAAAACAGAGCGTTTAGCTATTTTCCTTGGCAAATTTCAAAAAAATGTGCTGCAGCTAATTTCTGCAAGGCTGTGAAAGCGTTTCTAAAATAGGCATCAGGTTCAAACCACAAGATCAACCTAAACTGATATAAATCAATAACTAGCTCAGGAATATGTTTATTTTGGAAAGTGTTAGGCCTGGATATCACCTACTGCTTTAATGGATTTACCCGATGCTTAAGATCCCATCTTTGAAACTCTGAAGAAAGAGAAGATATTTTTAAGGGAGTTGCGTGCACGAGTCCTGAAAAGGGGAAGTTAACACAACTTCAGCAAATTCTTTTGTGAGGATGCCCCTTCCTGATGCAAGCCCTTCGATACAGAGGGGTTGCAGCACGGCTTAGACCCCTTCCACGGAGAGCAAAGGTAGCTGCTCTGGCGATAACCATGGGTCTGTAAACCCACGCCTTGTCGAGCATTGCTGCGTGGGTCTTTCCATCCCTGCTGATGGGAGATGGACCTCCAGGGCCAGGTTCAGCTGGCGCAGGGGTGGAGAGGACTCTGCATGCTCAACCCTACCCAGCGTCTTCCCGAGGTGTCCACTGGGCTCCTGCTTGCATGGCTTTAGGAAACGATGCCTCCACGTGTTCGTTAGGGTGGTCTCTGAGCTCTGATGGGGTCCCCTGCAGCCCCGGTGCTAGGGCAGTGCACCCAGCAGCTCAGACCTGAAAGAAGGGCTTAAGAAATCAAGAAATGGGAAAAAATCTGCCTGCTTCAGCTGTCGGAGAAGTGCTCATCTGTATTAGACAGTTCTCTGCTCAGCAGTTGTCTATACCATTGAAGATGACCATAAGTTAATATTGAAAATGCAAATGATCCCTTAAAGCAGAAGAAAAGGATGTAAACGATGGGGTCTCTGAGTCTGGGGCTTGCCAAGCTGGTCCCACAAACCAAATCAGAGAGGAGATAATTGTTTAAGGCCCGCACTGCTCTCGCTCCGAGTTTCAGCGCTCTACGTGCCGGCTGGCAGGAGGAGGCTGTTTGTGGAAGTCTTCGGTGGGGGTGGCATTTCCAATGAGCCAGTTGTCATTTTTGTGTGAAATTACATATCCCAGCATTGGCTTTGGGATTTGACTATCTCTCCCTAGAAGTGTGTGTACCTGTTATGTTTGGCTCAGGAAGCAGCAAAGAACTGCCAAATTTAGCATCGTTTGCCTTCGTTAAAAGTGGCTTGTTTGTTCTGAGAATTTGCATTTTATGTGATTTTTTTTCTTTTTTCCTTGCGTTGCAGGAGAAGCTATGCTGCTGAGTTGCAGGTTATGCTTAGGCTCATTTTCAGCATTTCATTGCTCTGTAATTATGGAAAACTGGAGGGGTTTCACTTTGCTTTTGTTACGGGTCAGATTCTTGATGGGCACTTGGATAAACCTGGTCCATTTGGAGTTAGGGAGGTTTCGACAAGCCCCCAAAGGCTCGGGATCTAGCTGGAAGCGCTTCCAAAGTATACGACTCTCCCGAGGTACAAAACCGAGCTGTCTCTTAGTTTTCCCTCCTGTGGATTTACAGCTCCTGTTGGATCTCCAGCCATCTGCAGAAGCATCTACAGGCGTGCCAAGCCGCACTCACGTACGTGTGCAGCACCGGGGCGGCTCTGGCTGTCCCTGCCCGGGGGAAGCACCGCTGCAGAAATCCCCAGGAGAGCGGCGGGGGAGGCACCGCCGCGTGCCGAGCCCCGCGCCCCGGCACCACCACCTTTTTGGGTTGCAGCCGTGGCGGACGCCAGCGGTTCCCGTGGGTGTGCCGGGGCAGGATTTGCTCCGGCGCGATTTATTTAAAGCTTTCAGAGCATTGACTCACGCTGGGTTACATCAGCTTCTGGGTTCCCCGGTTGATTCGCCCTGCGCTGAAGGGCACAGCCTACCGAGAGATACGGTGGATTTTCCATCGCCTGATGTTTCCAGACCAAGGCTGGAGGCATTTCTGGGAGGGATGGTTTAGCCACAGACAAAATACTGGGCTCAGTAACGGGGTACAAATTTTACCTAGCTTTTATATAGGGAGGTCAAAGAAGATGCTGAAAGAGCTCCTTCTGGCATCGCATCTCCCACTCTATTGGAAATACAAGTTATTTGTCATTAGTGTTGGGTGCTTCTCCCCCCGTAAATAACATTAACAAAAGTACTCACCATTGGTGTGGTTTTCAAAGATAAGTTTATCGTTGCACTCTTGCTCGTCCACGCAGCCGCAGATGTAGGTGATCCCGTCCTCGCTGGGCTGATGGGTCATGATGCAGCGCGAGGTGTTGTAGTTGGGGACCATGAGGTTTTCGATGGGGCGGTGGGGGTTGTGGCAGAGCGTGCTGATCCTGATGCTCTCGTTGTCCTGTCTCCTGCGCGTGCCAAATGAACCGACAAAGCTTTAGTCTAACGGCTCAGCCTTGGTGTCACCTGCGTGCCATCTTAAACTTGGTTTTAAGATCATTTGTT